GGATAATCCACATCCGCCCTATGTCTAACTGCAGTACTAAGTGTGGGCTACCTTGCAGGACTGTTGTAAACCACTCTTCCAGCCACAGCTTCCCCACTCCTGTAATATTTGAAAAAGCAAGCTGCTGGCTACGGCAGGATCATTTCCGAATGTTTAGTTCTTAAAAGTAAAGAAATACAATTTTCAAATAAAGCAGAACCCTCTGGTAAACAATGCTTAAATACTTGCTTTGGCTTTTCCTTCGGGAGCAGTATGTCCTTCCCCCTCCCATGGATAATCCTGATCTATAAGAGATATGCAAACTTTCTGGATTTCTCTTTTGTTTTCTATGGGCAATTCTCCCTTCTTGCAAAAAATGGCAGAACTTGGGAGAAGTCCAAGCCCTGAGCCAGCAATGTTTGCCTACCCTGTTATAAATGGGATGAAGTGTGGAGGACTGGGACTCAGGCGATCTGGGTTCCAGTCCCCATTCAGCCATGGAACCAACTGGGCCCGTCAGACTCTCAGCCCAACCTACCTCACAGGGTTGTTGTTGTGGGGATAAGATTGAGAGCAGCAGGAAGAGAATCGTGTAAGGCGGGGTATAACTCTAAAAATCAATAAATCAAATTTCATGCAATTGTACAAAAAATAGAAAGTGTAAAAAGAAGTGGGGAAGAAGTGCTTGAGGGTTTGTTTCAAGTGAAGAGCGGCACACAAATTCTGGTAAGGGACAGTAAGTTATAAATGTTTGTGCATTTCTTCCCTTGTAGGGGGAGGGATCCGAGATATTGGGAAAGGGGCTGGATCTGTTTTTGATCTGAAACAAAGCCTGATGTTAATATGACCCACTGGACAGAAACAATCCATACATGCCCTGCCGCCCCTTGAGATCGGCGGCAGAGACTCTTCTCTGGGAACCCTCCGTGAAAGATATTAGGAGGGTGACTACCCGGAGGAGGGATTTCTCTGCGGTGGCGCCCAACTTATGGAACGCGCTCCCTGGAGAGGTCCGCCTGGCGCCTCATTATTTGCTTTTCGTCGCCAGGCCAAGAGCTTTTTATTTAAACGTTATTTTAATTGTTGATGCTATTTATTGCTTTTAAAAAAAATTGCCAGGATGGCTCCACTATTTTATGTATTTGTATGGATTATATTTTTTATGATTGGAAGCCGTCCCGAGGCTTTTTGCAAATGGGGCGGCATATAAGTTGGCTAAATAAATAAATAAAATCCACTATCCAAGACCACAAGGAGGACTCAGAGGCAGATATTTCATATGTGCTCAGAGTTACTTTTCATCCCCCTTCCTAGCATGATTTGTTTCCAGTAGAAATGGGGAATACAATCTGCTATCGCCATACTAAGAACACAGGGAAAACTAATCTGGGGAGGCCCAAGGTGGATCAAATCCTACAGCATGGGCTATGAGGGCTAGGACTGATGAGGGAGGGGTGTGTGGGGGGGGGGGGAGCAGGCAGGCAGGCAGGCAGGCATACATGCAAAGGTATGCAGTGCTTAAAACCAATCAGCCTCCTTAGTGCTGGCTCTGCTGACATGTCCAGAGAACTCTTTTACTTGTTTGCCTACTTCCTTGCAAAGCCTAGCTGCAGGCTGGGTGCGTCCCTGTGGCTCAGCACTTCCTGCCAAACACCTCTATAGAGCAGCTGTTCCAAGAGAAGCCTGGGAGTGAGCAAGGATGCCCTTTACCGGGAACATTGCCAGTCCACTGTTCTTTGAGGAGCTGCAGAGTGGGACGTGACTCCTTGTGGTTTACCAAATGGAGGCTGCTGGGTAAGCCAGAGGTCAGCTTTGCAAATCTTAGCTAGGACTATCATGCCCACAGCTCCAGGGCTTTCATGCAAGTGTGCCTAATTTATTTATTTATTTATTTATTTAAACAACTTATATGCTGCCCCACCTCGGGGCTGCTTCCAGTCATAAACAAACACCAACATACAAATACATAAAATACATAAAAGAGTGGAGACATCCTGGCAATTTAAAATCAATAAATAACATTAACAAGTTAAGGTCTGAATAAAAATTTAATTGGTGGAAAGGAAAGTGGGAGCACTGTTTCCTTCCCTGCGCCAAACTGTTTGCCTCTAAGCAAAAGAGAGAACAGAGGAAGTGTAGTTTTGCCAGCGATGAACAGGACTTAGCCATGAGAAAAAGGAATTCCGTATTACAAATCACTAGCCAGCATAGTTATTTCTATGGGGGAGGGGAAGAATGCTCAGGAAGCTGAAAAAGAGAACACTACTCATCCAGAGGGTAAATCACCTGGGTGCTAGTAGCACAACTCGGGTGTCCCTGTAGGCTTTCTGTTCCCAGTAGCTCCAAATCAGAAGGTCTGGCTGCTGGGAAGCTTTGAGCCCTGTGCTGAATACACCACCACCACCGTGACCGAGGAGCTAAAGCCGGCGAGAGCACGACCTATACATGCGTAGACAGAAGGGGAGACATGCAAGCCCCTGTATTCTGCAGCCAGCTTGGTCGTCCCCTTTACCAAGTGGTGGAACCCATTGGTCGATCTGTGGACTATGCTACTCAGCACTCATCTCCCCCGACCATACCTGTCCTGCTATTCAACTTGCAATGGGGCTGAAGGGTTTGTCCCCATGTCACGAACTCCCAGGGCTTCTTGCCCCTTGAGGCTTCGTTATTCCTGTAGCCACAGTCCAGCCTCCTGCACAGTGTGGCCACCTGAAAATATGCACTCTGAGAGCAAAGCAAAGCACACCATGTTGGGAGTGGACGGACAGGGTGGAACGGGGGTCTTTTTCAGCTGCACCCCTCCGTCATGCTCTTTTCCTTCTTCACTGTTACTCCCCTCCCACACAACACTTCACTGCAAACGAAGCTCTCCTTGCCAACTGAACTCGTTCATCTTGGGACATCAGTACCAATTACTCCCCCTTTTCAAGCAAAAGAGAAAGGGCAGGATACCAGGCAGGATTAGCTGGCTTTCCCTCAGCAGGCCTTCCACAGACCGCAACATTTCAAAGGGCCAAGCACTTTCTTTCCCTTTGCCTGCTTGCTGCATGCAAGGTGTGCCCATTTCTTCAGCCAATGTACTTATATCCCACCTTTCCTTCACCGTGGAACTCTAGGTGGCTACATGCAGTTCTCAGGTGGTCTCCCCTCCAAGCTCAGGCCATACTCTGGGCTATCCTTCCACAAACTGGGAGCATTTCACATGCGCACACCATTAAAAAATGCATGCTGCTGCTCTTGCTTTCACAGCTGCTGGGTAGGTGGCTAGGGCAGTTTGGGATGTTCTGCATCTGAGAGAGCTCCATATTAAGCAGCCATGGGTATTCCATGAAGGGCACAATCTGATGCATGTCGGGGCGGACAAAAAGTCTCACAACGGCCAGCATGTTTGCTGAAGCATGTAGGCAGCTGCAGGACCTTTCTGGGTCTAAACACACACAGGATTGCACCTTACACAAATGAGCAGCCCGCTCCTTTCTGTGTATCCTCACTGGGTTCAGACTGGCTATTCGTCCAGGCAAGTGTGTGCCCCAGGAATTCAGGTGTTTGCCTAATTTATAAATGCAGGATTCCCTTCTGAGTGATGTGCCACCGGAGTGGACAAAGACAAGGTTGAGAAGAGCATGGAAGCAAAATTTATTTATTATGCAAAGCATGGGCGGGTAAGTGGCACCCCAAGACTTTTGTAGCAGCCCCTCAAAGGTACCCTGAGACTCCCATCAGTGTTGAATTCTGCGCCCCCACTCACTGGAATGTGTGCGTGTGTGCATTTTTGTGTGGCACGTGTGTGCACATGCATGTACAATCCAATCCCCAGTCAGCATCCTATGAAGCGCTTGGAACTGACAGAACCGTGCATCCCAACCATATGTAGCCCAAGGGCTCCCAGAATAGCTCATAGAGCAGAAACACAGACTCTGCCCTGAAGCATGCAATCTCCATTCATTCATTTATTTTTCATTTCTCTACCACCCAACAGCCCAAGCTTTCCCAGTGGTTCACAAAGCACATTTTTTAAAAAACCCAGTAAAGGATACATTGTACAAAAATCATTTACCCTACATATCCTGTGGCAAACTACATATTAAACATGTTAAAAATTAAAAGAAGAAAAATATTCAGAGCTGTTAGCACCTAGCAGGGCCAAGGAGCTAACTGAATGCTCTGCAGCAGAGGATGATCTTTACCTGGCACCAAAAAGATGGAAAGGTTGGCAGCAGGTGAACCTCAGTGGAGTGGTCTGTTCCATAAATGGGAGGCCAGCACTGAAAAGGTCTTTCTTTTTATTGCCACCAACTGAGCCTTCCTCGCAGGTGGCAGGCAGGGGTAGGTCGCAGAACTTGATCGCAATGTCCGGATAGAAAAAGGTTGGGAGAGTGATCAGGTATCGTGGCCTCAAGCAGTGTAGGGCTTTGTTAGTCAAAACCAGCACCCTGAATTGGGCTTGGAAGGCAATGCAAGTGGGCCAGAATTGGTGTTATGACACGCACCGAATGCGGGATCCGGAGGAGGAGTGAAAAGTCAGCTCTGATTCCATCAGCTTAGAAGGAGAGGCCCAGTTGATTTGCACGCTACAAGCCGACTCCTTCAATAAGCACGAGTTGCTTTCGTAGCAATTTGTAATACACTGGTACCTTGGCTCACAAACGTAATCCATTCCACGACCCTGGTTGCGACCCCAAATTGGTCGTGAGCCAAGTCAAATTTCCCCATAAGGTTCAGTGTAAATAAGGTTAATCCGTTCTGTAACTATTTTTTTTAAATCACAAAAATTTGAAGCAAAGTGACAACAAAGATCGCGGCCATCTCCCTCCACCCCAGCACAACCGCGATCGAGCCCATGTTCCCTGCACGAGCGCGACCAGGATCACGGCCATAGATGGGCGCGATCGTCACCCCATGCGGAGTTCGCGACCGGAGTAAAAATTTTTCTTAAAGTTTTGTTCGCGACGAGGTACCACTGTTATTCATCGATGCCCGTACATGGGCATGCGCACATCCTGTCAGGGGAGGGGCATCCTGGAAGCAGATTTAACCGGCTGAATGGGGCGCGTTTTGCTGTTTCTTCATTGCAGCTGGAGGGTTCAGGTTTTCTGCGGAGAGAGAAGAAAAGGCCAGCCCAGGCTTCTCAGGTAATTGAACGGGGCTTTCTCCTTATTCCTTTCAAGCCGCTAGGAACGGGGCCGCGCGTCTTCTCTCGCTTGCTACTAACAGTGGGCGGAAGGGAGGCTGAGTGAAACGGCTGCGCCATACTACGCCGACGGGGCTCCCCTTCAAGCACAGCCGCTGGCGAGCCTCCCCCTTTCAAGCGAAGGCTGTGCAAGCCCATCGTAGTCTATCATCTTCATCCCCCGCGATGGCGCCTTCCAAGCATGCGACAAGCGCCCCTCACGCAGCCACGGTGCGCTGGCATCCGCCGCGTTTTCTCCAGCTCGCACCGGTCCTCCTGCTTCTCCGTCGTCCGGAAGTCTGGGTGGGAAACGGAAACGAGCGCGTCTCCAGCCGACTTTATTGGCCATTTTTCTGCGTAAACATGCATGGGTTCGCCCCTTTCCGTTCTCTGAAATCCTTGCATTGGTGCTAGGGTTGATTTTGGGCTTTAACTGTTACATTGCAGTTTTAACGTGTACATTGCAACTTAGGTCGCCCTTGAGCGTCCCCCCCCATTTCTGCCCTGAGCACAAATGAGATTTTTTAGAAGTCCCCCGCCCGACTCGAGGGCCTTATTTTGACAGACACCGTGGAAAGCGGGTGAAACAACTTTACTCCTCCCCCAGCCTTGCGTCTCTTGGCAGTCAGGAAAGCCCCGATCACGGAAGGCTTTGGCAGGTCCATTTGGGCCCGAGCTTTGCATCGTGCACGCTTAGAGTTTTCCAGCCACTGGGGTGGGTAGCAGCAGGTGAGCTAAAGCGGATCGGCCAGGATCGCTACGCGGCAGCAGCTCTCATCATGCAAACATTGGCGCGGCTCCGCGGGAGACCCGCGCAGGGAAGGGGACTCAGAGCCGTCGCTCATAAGCTTTGGATCGCGCAACTTTCGCAGTAAGCACGGATGGGGGCGGCGCGCTACAAGGCGGTCACGTGACGATTGAATGCCCTTAAATGGTGGAAGTTGCTTGGCTATGGCAGGATAATTTTTAAATGCTTATTCCTTAAAAATATAGGAATATAATTTTGTAATGAGATAAGGTCCTTTGGTACAGAATGCTTAAATACTCGCTTTCGCTTTGTTTCAGGAGTAATATGTCCCCTCCCCACCCTAATCCTGCTCTTCCTTTTTCCATTCTGTATGGCCAACTCTCCTTTCTTCCAAGAAATTATTATATTTCAATACCGTCCATGGCTGAAGCTCCCTTGCTAATTTATGACATTTAAAATGGCAGGACTTGGAAGGAGTTCATTCCCTGCCCTGATCTAAGTGGGGCAGTGGTTAAGCGCATGGGACTGAGATTCCAACAAATTAGTTTCTAGTCCTGGGTCAGCCATGGAACCACCTGGGTGACTTTGGCCCCAAAGTCCAACATAGCTTTCACTGGAAGCTCAGGTGACAGCGGTGGCGAGGAGCTCTTTCTTTCAGCTTCGGCTGATCCATCAGCTGCGCCCCTACCTGGAGAATGACCGCCTGGTGACAGTGACACACATGTTGGTGACTTCCCGACTTGACTTCTGTAACACGCTCTACGTGGGGCTGCCCTTGAAGACAGTCTGGATACTTCAATTGGTTCAGAGCTGCCAGGCTGCTGACGGGGACTGGGCATTATGTTCACATGACTCCAGTCCTCCGTCAGCTTCACTGGCTTCCCATTGAAATCCGGGCCCAATTCAAGGTGTTGGTTATGACCTATAAAGCCCTTAACAGCTTGGGTCCTGGTTACCTGAAGGAGCGCTTACGTCCATATAAGCCCGCCCACCCCTTGAGGTCAGTGGGAGAGGCCCTTCTCCGGGAACCCTCCGTGAAGGAAATTAGGAGGGTAAGTACTCGGAAGAGGGCTTTCTCTGTGGTGGCGCTCAATCTATGAAATGCACACCCCAGAGAGATCCGCCTGGTGCCGTCATTTTTTGTTTTTCATTGCCAGGCAAAGACTTTTTATTCAAACGTTATTTTAATTGTTAATATTATTTATTTATTTTATTATTTGGCCAGGGTGACTTAAATGTTACTGTTATGCTGCTAAATTATATTGTTTTATATTATGTTATTTATTTAAGATTGTGAGCCGCCCCGAGGCTTCGGTGAATGGGGTAGCATAGAAGTCCTCTAAATAAATAAATAAATAAATAAATAGCTCACAGGGTCGCTGTTGTGGGGATAAGACTGAGAAGAATAGTGTAAGCTACTAAAGTCAGTGCATGAAAAAAGCCTGGATATAAATCAAATAAGTCTTTGACATAAGTGTTACACTCACATTATTGCACACAAATATGCAACTTGAGTTAGTCCCTCTTGGATATAAAAGCTGTTGGTTTTCTTCCTAACTGCTGCCCAGCTAGACTGACAGAAAGATAAACAAGCAGGTCCCAGATCAAATCAAGCCAGAATTTTCCCTGGACCAAAGATGACAAAACTGAGGCTGTCATACTTTAGGTAAATTATGGGAAAGTGGGAGTCACTGCAGAAAACAATTATACGAGGGAGAGTTGAAGGCAGAAGAAGAAAAGGAAGACCAAATATGAGATGGATGGACCCCATATAGGAAGCTACAGCCTTGAATTTACAAGAGCTGGGTAAGGCTGTTATGGATAGGACTTCTTGGAGGGCTTTCCTTCACAGCGTCACCATAAGTTAGAAATGATGTGGCAGCACATAATGGCAACAACTGTTCCTGAGGCAACAGTAAGCAGAATACTTGCTTTCTGCTACCGTATAACTAAAAGCACCCTTGGTTCTGCCTGTTTCAATATTCATTGATTGGCCAGAGCTGTGTTAACTGAAAAGGCCTAGGTGACTTTCCTTGCCGAAGATTTGTGAATTGTTTTTTCAGTGTGCCTGTGAGCAGCATTTCCTATTTGTTCAAAAAACAGGCAATGGACCTATTTTGCAAGAAGTATTTGACAGTTTCCTTTCATTATAGGTTCTCTTCAATGTTCTCCAAGCATGGCGTTGACCACTACAGCAATTTTGTGATTGGCTCAACCATGCCTTTTCTTCGAATCACCTAGCACTGGTGTCTCCAGCTGAAAGCAGTCATGTTTTGTTCTGGTGGGTAATGCTTCAGTTCTTATATTTTATCCCCCACTTTTTATTGGCTGCTGATGCAGAAATCAGTCCCTGTTCTGAACAGGACCTCAAAATAAAAAGCACAAACATTAAGTAGACCCGTGGGGTGGGCAGCAGGAGAGGAAGCAAATGTGGGAAATAGTCAACTAAGGGGGATCAGATGCAATGAGATCCTTGAGGCCCCTATACCATTATTTCAGGGGCAGTTGGATCATGGGGCAGATGGTGTCCAGGGGATTTGAGGCTCAAGTGGTCACTCCCGTAACACCACTTATGAGTAGCACCTCCAGATAGGGCCAGGAGGGAATCCTGCTTAAAAGCTTGGACTGCAGCTGCCAGTCAGAACCAACAACACTGGGCTAGATGGACCCAAGGTCTGGCTCAGATGCCATTTGATGTTCCTGTGCATCCCAACTTTCCCTTCAAATGGAGTCCCACAATATACTAAAAGAAAATCAGCTTATAAAAACAAGCACCAAGGAATACTAAACTCATTGAACAGGAAGACTGCTTAATAATCCAGAGGGGGAAGGGAAACTGTTCAATTAATAAACAATAAAGTCGTAAATATTCTGGACTGGATCCAAATTTAGTCACATTTATAGTAGCCAATTAAATAAATTGGGCTTAAGTCAATTCCCATTCCTCTCAGTGGATTTATTCTAAGCATGGCTAAGTCTGGGTCCAACCCCAAATCTGTGCATTCCTACAGCATAAGCATGTTTGATAAGTAGCAAATAGTCATGGCTCCATGGCTGAGCAGGCACTAGAACCCAGATCCTCTGAGTCCCAGTCCCATGCTCTTAACCACTATACCACACTGGCCCTCAAACATAGTGGTGTACACTGTTCATTTTCCATACAACATTGACCATATACTTTTTTCTTTACAATATGAAAGTAATAAGAGGAAGAAGAATGACTCACCCTGGCACAAGCACAACATTCACTAAAGATGGACAGACTAATTTGGAACAAGTGAGACTCAGTGTTGATGAACCAGTGGGTAAGCCAACTTTTCTAATGAGCGAAAGTGCTGAGATTGAGCCTAGCACACAACATCTTTTTCAGAGAGTTGAATTTCTTTGGAAGAGGAATTTGCAAACATTCTAAAACTTGCAACACATGAGGAGGGAGACTGCGAATGAGTAGCATTGCTGTCCTTGTGTTTAGTATAAACTTCTGAAGCCTAAAAAAAATGAGACCTTCCAATAAGCAGGGTTTTGTATAGCTTTAAAAACCTGCAAAAACCTTGTGATGAGAGGGCAACAGAAATTTCCCTCTTTTCAAACATGTGGAAGAAAACTATGGGAAGCCAAGTTGCTCTGGTCTCATGCTGAACTTGTTTGAAAGGGAGTTTTGTCTTCAGCCCAAGAAATCAGCTTTGCCCATTGGCAGAACTCAGCACAGGGATGCCGACAGCAGTTACCGATCAAATCCTCTGATAAATACAGGTTTCTGGAAATTTGATGCATATGAGGCAGTGAAAGAAAATACACCCAAAGGAGGTCAGTTGAATAAATCTTGCACTTCTAATGACTTGATCAACTTATTTGAAGCAGTTTCACCAAACCATACTAAAGTTTTGATAAATTTGCTAGAAAATATGAAATCTTAACCTGCTACCTGTGGGAACAGAGCTGAATAGGAAGAGGGCTATTTTCAGATGGAAGAAATTTACTTGCATGGAGCTTTTATACTCACATGACTTTTTGTGATACCTCAATTCTGAAATCACTTTATTAGATACTGAAACTAAAGGCACCTCAATTCTGAAATCACTTTATTAGATACTGAAACTAAAGGCAACTCAGTTTGTTCATTCTCATGAGCTATTGATTAGTATATTGTTAGTTGAACATATTTAGCTTACAATTTTCTTGATATTATGGTCACTTGTGAGTAAATTCCTGCTGAGTTCAATGGGACATTCTTCCTAGTTTGCGTGTGATAGGATTGGAGGTTGGCCCATATCTTTGGTCAACTTTTGCCATTTCTGCTTTTGCTTTTTTCCCCTTCTCACTATTGAATTGCACAATTAGAATTCTGTAATTTTTGTTTGCCTTCTGCTGCCTCCTCAAAGGATGAAAAAGTTATCTGAAGGGTAAGTTCCTTTCCTGCCAAATTCTCCTTCTTGCTTCCCTGTGGAAAGAGTCGGAATGGGGAGGGAGAACAAACTTTATTTATTTATTTATTTATTTATTTATATTGCGATTTATATCCTAACTTTTTCCTACAAAGGGCTCAAGGCAGCTTACATCATCTCTCCTCCTCCATCTTATCCCCACAACAGCAACCCTGTGAGGTGGGTTGGGCTGAGAGTCTGTGACTGGCCCAAAGTCACCCAGTTGGCTCCATGGCTGAGTGGGGACTAGAACCCAGATCCTCTGAGTCCCAGTCCCATGCTCTTAACTACTACACCACACTGGCTCTCTATTCTATTAGAACATAATTCTATTACAGTATACCCCCGTGAAGTCGTGCTTCAGCGTTCGTGGCTTCAGTCTTTCATGGGATTTTTTTCCCAGTGAGTCCAAGCCGATCTCCTTGCAAGTAAGCCAGTGCCTTGCCGTACAGCAGCTTACTCGCAAGGAGATAGTTTCCTCCAAGTTTGGACTCACTCAGAGAAAATGATCTCTGCATGTGCCCACCCCTGTCCCTGCCTTGCCACGCGCATGCGCTCCCTGGCCTGCACCGCTTTGGCGGCCAGCGCTCAACGCTGGCACCAAATTTGCGGTTTTTCACAATTCAGGAACGTAACCCCCACAAATTTCAGGGGACTACTGACTTGCTTGTCCTTTGGATGGACTGAAGCTTTTCCGCTCTCCTTGCCAGTAAAGGCTTGAAATGTGGCCAAGGCAGCTTCCTGGCCCCTCATATGTGTTGCTTAGAGACACCCAGGATGGCAGGAAGATACTTTAAGCTGGACACTGCCTGATTCATGATCAAGCACAGCGGGAACTCCACTGCTCTGGCGCAGCTTAACTAAGATGTGCCATGTCTGAGCAATGAGGAGGTAAGGCCACCATGTGCTGTGCATCCCGCACAAGGCAGCCCTCCCTTCCCCACGTCCTTCCCTGCTGTGCCTCTCCTCCTTCCCCGCTGTTCGGTCATGCATGCTACAGCTTAGCAGGAGGGAAAGAATGGCTGCTTTGCACGGGACTCTGTGCTGGGCTGGGGGGATGCTTCTGTGTGCAGGGCTGAGGGGCAGAATCACTCCCCTGCAACCTGTGAAGTTCCTTAGTTGGGTTGCAGGTGAGTGGGAAGGGCCTGCTTGGCTGTGTCCCCTCAAGGCACACTCCCAGGGGTTTTTATTTATTGAGCAGGCCAGGTGCATTCATAGGAGAGTATCTGACCTATGACTCCTATGTGGAAGACTACAGGTCGCTGGAGGTGGACATTGCTAGCACCAGTGCGAGGCATCACAGCTCTGTGTTAGGAGGCAAGAGACCACCTTTTGTAAAAGGGATTTTAATAAAACACTAAAGAAATAGGGAATGGGGAAACTAAAACCCTTAAGGTAGAAGCAGACACACAAAAGAAAGGAGGGAAGGGAAGGGGGAATTGGAGAGCAACAACAACATACCATATCACCATTCACAGCTCTCAGAGCCCCTGGCCTGGTTGACCTCCTTGGACATGATAATAACAAAGCTTTCCTCTACTAGCTGCACACACAGATACTATACCAGAGCTTCCTGCAGCAAAAGGGTGACCTCTTGAAGAGGTACACACCCCATCATCAGTCCCTGCTTCTATCCAGATTTCCCAGGTCTAACAACTCAGGGTGTGACATCGCCTGATCCAAGGTGACCCAGGTGAGAATCATTTGCCCCTTACGGTCCCAATCTCCTGTCCAGCTCTAAGGGGTGCCAGTTTTCCTGTCCTTGAAGATAATGTACCATATCTCTCCCTTCTGCATTCCCAGGCCAGGCCGGGCTCTCCAGCCATTCTTATGCCAACCACCTGGCAGTTGCAATCCTTCTTCCACACAGCTTGTTAACCCCTTGTGCTCTGGTTGTAGGCTCAGCCATTTCACGTTCCCCTGGTCAACCCCAGAAACAAACAGAAGGCACTGAGGAGAAATCCTGTTGGCCAGCAGGTGGGTCTTCAGGGTCTGCAAAACATATGGAGCCTTCCAGAATCTAGAAAAAGCAGAATGGATAATGTAAAGTTCTTTTTTTTTTTTTTTGCATAATGTACACAGAAACCAGAATTTAGCTTTATACTGCATGTATTTCTTGTTTGATACAAAATAGGGCTCTCATTCTATTCATTTTTGGTAAAGTGTACAAATAGGCCTTGGGTAAAATATATTTAGTCATCTTGGCTGGTGAGTGGGGTAGACATTTGATAGATAGATAAATGGTATTTGTATAGCACAATTGTGGAAACCTGCAATAAACATGTGTTTTTACTTCTTTTAGTTGATGAACTTAAAGCAACATTGAAGATACACTGTCCAAAAGAACTATTTTTCCTCATTGGTATTGTCATTGGTAAGTTTTCAGCAGCATCCTTATGCCATCTTGCTACTTAGTAACTTCCAAGCATAAATGATTTCCGTTCCCCCCGCCCCCCACCATCTCCAGAAGGAAAACATGCTACTTAGGGAAAGTCATGTTTCTGAATCTGTATTTGTGGAGGTAAGACAAATCTATAGACAAGGAGTTGTATTAGCACAGGAACTGAGCGATGGGTGAGTTGTAGTTTAGGTGATCCCCCCCCCCCCCCCCGTCGTGCCCCCCACGATTCCATTCTGCATGTTGATTCCCCCTGCCCAGCTGGGTTGGCCTCCAGGGCTTGCTTACTTAACATGACATCTCACCCTGTGAATAGGTTACACAGGTGTGGGTTGTTCACAGAACAATGTATGGGGCATCCATCAGATGATTGGGAAGCTGTCCTCTTCCTTCCTTCCCAATCCTCCCAGAGGTCCATGTAACAGAATCCATCTTGTCTCCCCCTCACTGGTCCCATGCTCTGATCAACACCACCTTTTCCCCACTGATTCCCCCTGAAGCCCCATGCCCCCCACCCCCAGGTAATGTGCCATGGCGGCCCCTCTACTGATGCCTCCCTGGCACCTTGGAACAACGATCACTAATGGCTCATTCCCCTTAAAAAAATACGGGTCACGGATATGTGCACAGTTTAGCTCGTGATTTTGTTTTCAGTCATGGATGTTACCTACTGGTCTTTGACCACTGACACTTACCAGGACATGGACCAGACAAGACTTCTTATATCAGACAGGCATAAGTACACAGTTGGGTACCTTTGAATAATCAAAACCAATCCTAAACACAATTCCACTTGCATCTGCTTCCCCCGCTCCCACCTCCCAAAAAAGATCATCCTTTCAGGAATTGTCACTGCAAGTGCTGGTTGACCAGCAGTGGAGTCGCTGGCCCTGGGAGAGGCGCAGGAGCGCTTGCCACGAGCGGCAAGGCTTTGTCACTTCTACTGTGTGGGTTGCTCACTGCGTCCCTGGATCCAGAATGGGGTTGATCCAGTGGGTTCAAATATGTGACCCCTCGCCGTGGGTCCAGCAACCCCAAGAATAAGCCGTGGGTTGTCAGGCTTGCTTGTTGGCCAAAAACAAGGCACCCAGTGGGAAATGGTCTAGGTTCACATGCCTTGACAGCCTGTTGTGACTAGTTACCCACAATGGTTTAATGTATTGTGCAAAACTGGCCCCCCTCTCGGCCTAAGTAAGGATGAAAAGTGGCTGCTGAGAAGTAGGAGTTGGAGGGAGAGGGAGATGGGAGTATTTGAACCTCCACCCTACCTGCCAGTTCTCTCCTGAAAATATATATAAAAATAAATTTTGGGGCAATCAAGGATGTGGTTAATACATTTTTGGCTTCTGAACATGTAGCTCTATTTTCAGTCCTCACTGAACCTCCACCTGGTGGCCCAGTCAGCCTTCTGGCCACTTCTCTCTCACTTTCCTCTGCCATCACCTCATCCCTAGCTGTGGCTCCCAGAGCAGTGGGCTGCAGTTAGCATTGGCATTCCGAGTCAAACTGGACACACGGACTACAGTTTGTAAAATCCAAATAGCTGCTGCAGGATGGCCCCAGGTAGATTTACAACCACGAGAAGTGGGGTGTTAAGTATCCCCTTGCTGCAGTTCGGATTAAATCTGTGCTATGCTATGCTATGCTATGCTAGACAGCTTTCCAGATGAGCTCCTTGCTGGGCAAATAGAAAAGTTTTGGCCTGGCACCAAAATGAATAAACAGTCGGCTGCAGGCACAGGAAATGGATTCTGCAGTCAGGGTGCTACCACTGAAAAGGCCCTTCCCCTTGCAGCCACTCTTCTAGCCTCTTTCAAAGAGGGCTCCCAGAGAAGGATTGTGGCAGATGATCTTAAGGTCTGGGCAGGTATATATGGAAGGAGACATTTCTTCAGATATCCAGGCCCTAAAATATTTAGGGTTTTATACATCAACATTAACACCTTAAATCAGGCCCAAACTTCATTCAGTAACCAATGAAGATGGTAAAGGACTAGCACTGTCTGCCAGTCCCAGTTACCAGCCTGGCTGCTCTATTCTGTACCAGTTGAAGTATCTGGATCATTTCAAGGGTAGCCCCAGAGAGAGCACAATGCAATAGTCCAAGCGGGAGGTTACCAGAGTATGGATTACCATTGATGGGCTCTGCCTGCCCATGTAGTTGATGGATCTACCAATAGTACCTCCGTCTTGTGAATTGTGCCATCCAGGAAGGTCAACAGCACAGGGTGCATTTCCTGCACACACACACGCGCAAAAGAATTTTGCACTTAGCTTGTAAAATAGCAGCTTAAAAATCACATATAGAGTTGCACTAAAACAGGATAAGCTCAGTTCAGTGCCCTGTAAAACCTCAGCACCAAAAACCTCAAGAAAATACAACATGAAATAGGCATGCTTTTATGGCCCATTTGAATGTCTGCACTGCAGGGGCCATATCAGTTTTTGGAAAGGAAATCCATTAACATAAGGACCAGTACTGAAAAGGCTTTGTCTTTTTGTCCCCTGACCTAAAAATTATGGCAGACAGGTTAATACATAGGGCACCTGAAGGGCCATGCCTTGCGAGTATGGCAGGATGATATAGGTAACAATGATACTTCACATAACCAAGCCCCAAAATGTTCAGGGCTTTAAAGTTCATCACCTATTTGAATTGGCCCAGAAGCAATGCAACGGCTGCATGTTCCGACTGCCACCCTCCTTCCCCACAACATCCAAGCAGCCACATTCTATCCCAGTTGGCATTTCCAAGCTATCTTCATCGGCAACTCCAGACTAATGCATGTGTAACCAAATTTAGGCCCCTCCTCCCTAGATAAGGTAACAACTGGGGCAGCAGCCTAACCCAGTAAACGGCGCTCTTGGCCACCAACAACACCAGAGCATCTGCAAATAGCACTAAGTCCAGAAGAAGCATCCAGCTGCAAACAGAGTCCTTCAAGGACTGTGCGGTTAGGCAAGTAAGACTTCATCAACTGAGGGACACTTATAGCTGTTTTAACTTTCTTTGTTGTAGGTGTGCTACTGGGTAAATTCTTGTTACCTTCATGCCCATCAGTTACTCCGTTATGCCTACAAGACTGGGTTGGGTATAACAGAAGGTGCTACTTTTTTTCTGATGATGAAGGGACCTGGGACACTGCCCAAAGCAACTGTTCTTTCCATGGTGCTTCCCTGGCTGTAATAGACACTCAAAAGGAGAAGGTGAGAGTGCCCTTTGAGCAGCAGAGTGTGAATGGCATGTAGTGGTCACTGGGCAAGACCATGGCGCATGGGTGCTGAACAGTCCTGCAAATGAAATCTGGTCCATTTAGGATCCTAGTATAGACCCCTGGAATTCCCAGGGCCCAGATGGCTCCATCTCCTTCCCAAACAAGCTTGTGCACACATTTTTATTTTTATTTATTATCTATTAAAAGCTTTTGTTTGCCGTCCTATTATACAAGATCAATGAGATTTTTCTCATTCTAAAAAATTGAAATGCTTTGCACAGAGATTAGATACTGGCTGCTGTCCTGTTGTGATGCCCGTAAGCCCCCAAGCTGTGGCTTCTGGTCATTCAGTGCAGACTGGGAGTAGCTATGGAGGCCATTTCTACCTCTGGACATGCACTTGGTAGGCATGTCATGAGCAGAGCTGGCTGGAGCCAAGGTTCAGACTAGATGGCCCAGGAGGCCCCTTCTGACTCGCTCTGTTTCTATGTTCACTCCCTGGCCTTGTTGGTCAGGAGTAAACATATGAGCTTTTGGAAGAGAAGGAAGCTGAAAAAACTTCAAGGCAACTTGTATCCTGGTTGTTCCCATCTTCTCCCTTCCCCATCCACTGGAATACCTTATTTTATCCCTCGCCAAGGCCTTTCCTGACCTAAAGCAGCCAGCAGGGTTTCTTCCATGATAGCAGCTGGTGCTCCAATTCCCAGTTCCTAGGTTGAAGCACCGTCTTCAGCCTTGCATCTAGGAATCTGAAAGATCCTGTGATCCCTCAGATGTTGTTCAGGGGGCATAGGCTTGCCCCTAAGCTAAAAAATGCCAGCATTTTCACCCTGCCCTTTTTATACCCCCCCCACCCTCTTTTGAAATGGACTTTTGCCCTTGGGCTGAAAGAAGTTCAGGACCCCACTATATTATGATGCCCAGTAAAACCGATGCTGATGCTATTGAGCTTTTTCTCTTTCTTTGTAATTCAGTGTGGCAGAGTTATTCTCTGGTTTGTCAGATCTTTGTCTTTTTGCTCCTTTGTCTTTTTGCTCCCTGAAATGCCAATTTGTGGTGGCAGCCAGGGGCCTGTTTATATCAATTCCATCTTGTGCAAATGTTGTGGCCTTCCCATCCTTCTCTTACCCCAAATTCAGACAGCAACTAAAATTTCTGATTCTGTAGATTCACACTGGACCAACACAGTTTCTGTGAGACTGCTGTACAGGGCTTTGTTTTGGAAGTTCCCTTTAAGCTGGGGGCCATGACTCCACTAAGGCAGGGAGCGGAGGCTCCAGGGCTGGACTCCCAGTATGACCCATCTGAGGCTCCAATTGAGTTCTCCAGAGCTCTCAAGACTTCTTTTTCCAAGCCACTAATCATTTTGTGGTTTCCTGGCTTTTGTGCAGTTCCCACCCCATTCTGTAGAGGTTTGGAATGGCTCAATTAGTGGAAGATCTAAAATCTAAATTAGTGGAAGATCTAAAATCTGCTGACGTTTTGCTCCACCCCCTTCAGTCCTGACCTGTGATGGAAAGCAGCCCCCAACAGCTACTCCAAAGTTGAATTCAGTCCTCAGGCTCAGAAAGGCTCACACACCTTTGAAAGAGAATCAAATCAAGTGATCCACTACCAAATAGTGGATGATGGGACACCACAGTTAGTTATTCCATGAAATGATGGTCATGGTTTCAGCATTTAGGCTGGAACCATGTGCAAAGGAGATGATGGTGGTGGTGGTGATGATTATGTTTATGATTACAGGATTTCCTACTACAACATAAAGGTGCGAGTGACTACTGGTTTGGCCTCCGGAGGATAGATGAACAGCCCTGGAAATGGACGAATGGTTCAGACTTCAACAATTGGTAAGATATTTCTTCAAGTGACCCAGCAGTCAGAAGATCTTGAAGTGAACATGTGCTAATGGTGTGGTCCTGTGCCAAGAGAGGTCAAGAGAGAAAAACGGTTTGCAACTCACAGCATTCCTCAGCTAGCTTCTAAAAGTGCACAGCTCTGCACCTTAAGATGTTTCTCAGGGAGCCAGTTTTAATTAAACAAGTCACCATGAGAAGTTGTTGCCATTTTGCAGTTAGTTGCAAGTTAAATACATTTGTACTTACTGTATTTATAGGCTGCTCTCAGGGCCATGAATATATAGAAGAAACATCTAGCTAGCTAGATGAATAGCTAGCTAGCTATTCATCCACACATGTGTATAGGATACCTTAGATGTATGATGGCACTTTAGCATCCTTGGTCTAAATTATGCCATAAGGATTCCAAAAAATAAACAGCTCAAAATGCCATGAAGTTAGCTCCACAAAAAACACTTCCTGGGAAAAGCAGCCTTGAATAAATAAGTTTTCAGGTCATTTTTAAATCCTTTACTGTGAGGGCCAAGTGAAATTCATTTGGAAGGGAATTTCATAATCATAGGGCTATCATCAAAGTTTTATCTCTCCTGCCTGCCAAATTATTTGATCCTGCTGGCAGGCATACAAGCAGGACTGCCAAAGCTGAGTTCACGCAGGTGAAGTTGGACATTCAGAAACTGGTTGCACTTAAGAGTGTTAAAGGGGAAATGCCAGCTATAAAAATGTTGACTATACCTGGGTAAGGTAGATCTGCAGAAGGAAAATTTCCCCTGAATTATCTGATGACCGTAGAGGGAACCTCTACAAGAAACGGCCGAGAAAGGTGATCTATAAATTTGGAGCTTGGTGGCATCAATATGTATATAAAGTATGTATATATCACCCATCATTTTAAAGTCACAGGGAGATACACAGTCCCTTTAAAATCTTTTACAGACTTTTAAGTCCCTTAAAAGAATAAGTAAAATAAAATAACAAAGAACAAACTACTAACTCAGCCCTGAAAATCAGCAAAGGCGTAGGTCGACAGGTGCTATGGGAAAGGAATTCTTTCCAACAGATACCACTGAACACCTGTCACGGTGCTATGGGAAAGGAATTGCAAAGGAAGAGGTGCAATGCCCCAATACATTGTCGAAAGGAACCCAGAGTTCTCTGGGATTTAACATCATCTAAATCAGGAGGCTTTGGTCTCTGCAGTGCACATCACAACAGCACAGGAGATCACTGCGTGTGTTTTCATTGCAGGTTTCCAATTGGCGCAAATGGCCCTTGCGCCTATCTGAACGATGAAGCAGCCAGTTCAACATGGTGTGACACAGAACGAAACTGGATATGCAGCAGACCCGATCATATTTCTTGAAGCCAGGTTCTGGCGAATGGGGAGGCATAGAAATTTTCTAAATAAATAAAATAAAATAAATATATGAAGTGTCTCTTAGTATCACCTGTGAAAATATCCCTGATGGTGTGAAAGAAAGTGTCATTAAGTCCTCAACCCACTGTGTAATCAAAGGTGACCTGGATGAGCCAAGATTGAGTTTAACTTGGTATAAGTTAAACTTGGTATAAGGGACTTGAGCAACACAAGAAGCTACTGCAGTCCCAGCCAGCATGGCCAGTGTCCAGGAATTGTGAGCATTATAGTCCAAAGTGTCTCGATGGACAAAGTTGAAGAAGACTGTTAAAACCTGCATACTATAATTTACAAAATTGCAAATAATCCTCCATCAAACATAAATGCAGAATGGATTTTACAAAGCTTTTTACATGAGACAGTTTGTTAGCTGCATGCATACATACATACTAGTCTTGTGAAAAAATAGAAAGGTTCCAGCGGAGGGCAACAAAAATGTTCCAGGGTTTGGAAACACTGCCCTGTGAGGAAAGACTGACAGAACTGGGCATGTTCAGCCTTGAGAAGGGAAGACTGAGGAGGGACATGGTATCACTCTGGGAGTACCTCAAAGGCTATCACAAAGAAGGTCAAAATCTCTTTTTGCTGATACCAGAGTGCAGGACATGGAATAATCAGTTCAAGTTGTAACAAACCAGATTAAGGCTGAACATCAGGAAAAGCTTCCTCACTGTCAGAGCAATACAACAGTGGACCCAGTTGCCTCAAGAGGTGGTGGGGTCTCCCACACCAGAGACATTAAAAAAAAAACCCTGAAACAAAACAGGACGGCCATCTGAGGGGGATGGTGTAACTTGGTGTCCTGCAACAGCAGGGGGTTGGACCTGATGGCCTTCTTGGCCCCTTCCAATTCTACTATTCTATGATACTTTTGGTACATTCAGTTGTTGGTGTTCCACCATGGCCTCTTTGGTTGGTTTTCCATGACCAGTGGTCATTTTGGTGTGCTAGTTACAAGCTCTTACTGCAAAATTAGTGCCTCCCCCACTACCTCTTCCTTGCCATGACTGGAGCAATTCAGAAATAATGTTTAAAGTGGGTTTAAATTTGTTTTGTCTTTGCTATGTAAAAAGATGGATTCATATATAAAGGTACGTGAACTGTCTAAAAGGGGAACAATACAAAGCTAGATTTATTTATTAGATTTATATCCCATTTTTTTCTCATGAACATGAAGTGGCTTACATCATTCTCCTGCTGCTGCTTTCAATCTTATCCCCACAACCATCCTGTGGGGTAAGGTGGCCTGAGAATCTGTGACTGGCCCAGAGTCACCCAGTCTCAGTCCTGTGCTCTTAACCACCACGTCACACTGGCTCTTTCGCTTTTTTCTTCCGCCACGTGGAGGGAAATCTAGAAAGCATCTAAGGGGCTGTAGGAAGGAAAGCTCTGCTCATCTTCTTGGCTGGCAGGAAAAGAACCATGCCAGCTGCTGTCTGAATTTGGAACTTGACCTTGGAGAAAGGGGCCTTTTGAGCGACCAGGAGGGGAGGGGGTTGAAAGGCCAGAATGCAAGCTGCCCCGGGCCTCTCCAGCCTCCTCCTTTCCATTCCCAATGTACCCCCTTCCCCACTTCTCTCCGGTGTTGAAAAGCTCAGGACTGCGGGACAGAGACTGTCTCTGCCACACCTCCAGCCTTGCATCAGTTGCGCCTACGCCTCTGAGTTCAGGAGCTTATGATCACTGAGAAGACAGCTCGGGATTGTGTCCTACTTGATCAGCTTCTGTCTAATTGCCATCATTTATCCATTGTTTTGATGGGAAGAGAGGAAAGGGTTCATATTCAGAAAATGGCAAGGATATGGCTCCCCTGTTACGTTTTTATGCTATTCCACTAACAACACTGGATCTTGGCTAGAGATGGCTAACAGCAGTGCTGCTTCTTTCTCAGAAAGGGTCTCCTCCAGGCAGCCTGTGTGGTTTAATTCTTCCAGAGAGGCAAGAAAAGATCCTTTATTAGCATGCTGGGGTTGGTGCCTAGCTGCTGTCACAACCTCAGAACAAAATGGCTTCCTTTTCACAAATCCACCTGAATTCAGCAGTGCACATTTCAGAGCGGACTTTGTCACCCTTAATGATGCCACAGCTGGCTGCATTTCCTGGAAGAGGTAGTGAGATTCTGTGGAAACAAAGGTGAGAGCTGTAGTTATTAGCAAAACACACCCTGCCTTTCTATAAAATACTCAAGATTGCTTACAGCAAAAATGAAACTCTTCTCAAGGTGGATATATTGTTACACATTGTGGGGATGGCTAACCTTGATGACCTCTTGGGATCCCTTCGAACTCTGAAGTTCATGATGTAAAGAGAGAGAGTGAATGTCTGAAATCTACATGGGCTCATCCATTCTTGAATGAATTAGTAGACTACTGGGACTCTGTGGCCAGCAACTGCCTTAACGGGACGTCTCCTTTCTCGCAAGGAAATTTTTGCTCAAGTTTCTGTGGTTTTTGTGTCATATAAGAGGACTGAGACAAGTCAGAAAGGCACGGTTAGTTGCTCTCTCCAAGGAGCTGAATGTGCTAGCACTTTCATTAGGATTTTGATGGTAGGCAGCAAAGAACTCTAGATAGAGGATTAAGCTTTTCTCAACCTATATGTATATAAAGGTAAAGGTAAAGGTTTCCCCTTGACATTAAGTCCAGTCATGCCTGACTCTAGGGGGCGGTGCTCATCTCCATTTCCTAGACGAGGGAGCCAGCATTTGTCCGCAGACAGTCTCCGTGGTCATGTGGCCGGCATGACTAAACACCGAAGTGCACGGAATGCTGTTACCTGCCCACCGGTGGTACCTTTTTATCTACTTGCATTTGCATGCTTTCGAACTGCAAGGTTGGCAGGAGCTGGAACGGAGCAACGGGAACTCACCCCGTTGTGCAGATTCGAACCAGCGACCTTTTGATCAACCAGCCCAGCAGCACAGCGGTTTAAACCACTGCGCCACCTGCAGTCCCAATATGTATATATTTGTAACCAAATGCAATATATATAAATAAATGTAATATTTCCATACATATTACACTAAAAGTCATTAAGTCTCTAGTAGCCTCATTCCAATAGCCACAGGAAGTCTTTATTCTAGAACTCCAACCTTGGAAATTCTTGCTCAGTTTTAAATAATATTTGGGATGATGCATAAGACAACAGCTAATGCTGATTAACTTGGCGATATTCCTTTGCCTCCTTAGAGAAGCTGAATTGCAGCCTGAAAGGCAGAGCATGGTCTGACCCTGTTCATGTACATTTGTTTCTTGATTCATCACTGGGACATACATTATTTGCACAAGAGACTATCAAAGATCAAAACACTATAAACAATGCTATTGTACCATCCAACACTGCTTCAGCCACAGTGCATTACAACGGGGGCACTTCATCCATCAGCCACAAACCCCTGACATGTCAGTATTCAACCATCCAGGGGTATTTGCATATATGGCACTGGACTGCCGATATGGGAATAGGGCAGTCCCGATACAGACAACCCTCATATGGGTTACTCCATGCATATGGGAACTTACAAGGTTTGATTTAATGCCGAACCATCTACCCAGGTCCAGGTCTTCCTTGGGGATGTAATATTAACTCCAATCCAAACCGGATATTTCTCTTGAAGGATGCTGTGAATGAACTCCTGCCAACAACAGTAGGAAGACTGTAACTCTCACTCCACGTAATGTGCTTTTGAATGACATTTCATCTAGTGATTCTTGGGTGGTAATACCTCCCTGACTTCACACCGCTTAGGGTTCAGGCCAAGATTTTGAAGCAAGAATTGACATTGCCTTAGGCAGCCTCGGTCAATGCTCATTTCAACAGGGGGAGAGTGACTCTAAATCTTAATAGGCTTTTGAAACTGTTAGCTGCCATGACTTTCAGTCTGCTCAACACATCTGTGTACATCAGAATATGTGTTGCACTGTCCTATGAGCTTCAAGGATTCCCTTTGCTTTTTAATTTCCTTGTTCTGTTCTTGGAACTGAGTACCTAGAACTGTGGAGAAGGCCATCATCAGACTGCTTTTCATTTCGCTCTTGCCCACAAATGGCAGTGGGATTGCATGAGAATTTGGTGAGGGCAAACAAATGGACATGGAATCCAGATGAGAGTGAAGCCTGATGCAGGTATTAGCCTGCTCACATGCAGGGCCAAATTTGCAGGGGTTGCGGCTGTGTGTATAAGCCCCCACTTGCTTGGCTGCCACTCAGGCTCAAGCATTGAGTCTCAGTGTCTGCACTTTGAGCACAAAGGTCTGAAGAGAGCTCAGAAAGCATGTTCAGCTGGCAGAAGTGTCAGTGATCAGGAATCCTAAATTATCTGGGTTCTGGGTCACAAGTGTTTCCTAAGCACATACAGATGAACATGTTTAAAAGGCTCTGTACTCAGTTCATGAATGATGTGGTCAGGAGCAAGGGGACATTTGACGGCAGGATGGACATATATAAGTGCATTTTAATTGGGCTAAGAAAAGAAAAGTCTGTGCCAATCAAAGTTCCTGTGGAAGGGCATTCCAGAGTCTATATTACTTGATAAAACCTATGTATTCTTATACTAGTTATACAACTTTCTGTATTCTCCACCACTATAATATATCAATGCTTCTATTCCAAGGCAATCCACAGTGACATGTTGCTATTTCAGGATAGTGCTAAGAGGCAGAATGGAATGGAGCAGCGGAGAGGATGGGCTGTAGCCCGAGAGGATGGCTTGGCTCCAGCCCATCCAGGGTACGGGCATCTACCTTCTGCAATTTGTCTTTGCCACCCTCTGTTTCTCTCCCTGCCTTTTTATCTGCAAGCCACATTGCTCATCTTACCATCTCTTCCCTGTCCTGGAACACTAGCATTTGAGCAACCTTCCTGGAACAGTCTCTGTAGCTCAGCATCCAGTTCTTTTTATCTTTCGAAAACCAGTAGCACTTTCCCTTTTGTTCTGCCCAGTTGGTTGGACAGAGTTTACATGTAGCACCTTCTAGACAGAGACAGAAAAAAAATGGGGTTTACCTCTTGGGTTTGCTAATTCGTTTGCTCCTTGCATTGTACTCTAACGAAAATGAAGGCTGCTAGAAGAAGTCAAGCCACCTCTCTCTTTCTCTCTCTTCCTGATTTTCTTATCTCATTAGCAACTGATCTTGTTTTCTCCCTCCCTCCCATGTTTGCCTTCTGCTCCATGTTTATCTGTCTAAAACAACCTTTGACAACTCATGCCCAACAGACATATTAGACTATAACTCCCAACATACCCAGTCATGCTGGCTTTGTTGGACAAAGCTGTCCTAGAACAGTCTTTCCCTCCATATTCATCAGCCCATTTAAACCTGAGCATAGATGATACCTAGATAAAAGCATTGGCCTACTGTGTGACTATTTCATGCTGTGGATCATTTGCAAAGGGATTTTAAAAAATGAATTGCTAATATCATATTGCCCCATACAGATCTACTCTGTGATCATGCTTGGAAAACTGAGTACAGTTTTGATCACTGTCCCTCCAAAAGAGCTCTAAAGTGTGCAGAAAAGAACCAAAATGATCAAGTAATTCCCCTTTGAAGAAGGACTGCGATGTTTGGGCTCTTTAACTTGCAAAAGGCAAGTTAGGGTGTGTACATGGTAGTGATGTGATAGTGAAATTATACACTGTGTGGAAAAAGTGGGCATCAAGATATTTCTCTTCCTTTCTCATACTAAAAATTGGGGCCATCCATTAAAGCTGAATGGTGGGAGATTTAGGACAGATAAAAAGAGGTCCTTCTTCATACAGTGCATAGTTGAACTACGGCATGTATTGCTGCATGAGCTCATAATGATTTTGAAAGAGGATTGGGCAAAATCATGGGTGATCAGGCTACCATTGCCTCCTAGAAGTGATACTGGTCATCTCCAGTATCAGAGGCACCAAGCCTTTGCATGTCAGCTGTTCAGGAACACAATAGGGGCATGCTATTGGCCCAGTGACCTTTGTGTGGGCTTCTCATTGGGGCACACGGTTGGCCATGGTGGGAACAGAAGCTGGACAGCACAGGTGAGACATGTGGAACTGCTTTTCGCCCGAGAGACAAATTCTACTTGGGTCACATCCCAGTGGTGGAAGATGGCAAAACCTGGCAGGTGGGCGAAATACCCCAAATGCCAGCATAGTTAATTAAATGTGCTGCTGTATTTGAGTGCCAGCAACGAAGCCTTAAAAGAAGCATTTCAACATTTTTGGATGGGGGGAAACTGCACAAAAGCTGGGAAATGAATAAAACAGTCGGAGGAAAGGGAATGGACCCAGGAGAAGGGTCCGACCATTTGGGGAGCACTGAGACCCCGGAGGGCTAGCATTGCCCCCTGATCCTGAGGATCTGCATCCCCAAAATACTCCTTGGCCCAGCAAGACGTTTCTTATGTTCTTGTTCATCTTTGAAGTCAGATGCTTGCTCAGGAAAGCCGCTCCTGAACTCTTGAGGGGGCTGATTCAGGAAGCAATCCTGTACCCACTTACCTAGCAGTAATGGCCATTTAACTAGTGCCACTTAATATCAGGCAGACTTGTCAGAGTCACTTGGGAGATTTACAAAACGGTTATAAAATCATTATTAACTAATCTCTGCTTAGCATCCTCTGCTCTGCGTTTCCCTGCACTTTTCTCTCATACTAGTTGTGCTCAGTGTGCTCTTGTCTGTTTTCTTAACCACATAAACCACCCTCACTTCTCTTGCTTGAATCTCAACTGCCACTTTGAGACGACTTATATTTTACATGCGGCGATGTGTGTTAAAGGCCAAGAACCATTTTTCATTCTTTAAAAAGCTGCATCAGGTGGAAAGGAAATTATTACAAGGACATGGGGAGACTGTTGTTGAAACATGGGTTACCATGCTGTCTGAACTCAACTGTGCTGACAAGCCATGGCTTGTTAACCCTGAACAACCCATGAGGAGAATCCATGGTTTGTGGTTGGGTTGGGAATTGTGAGTTGTTCACCCTGGTTTGTTAACTCAGCAATCTACCTGCAAAGTGGCATGAAAATTGGTCTGTGTGGGTTACATAGTGATCCACCTTGCCTTCTTGTGGACCAGAGCTTAAAAGGCCTCCGATGACCCCAAAAAGCTCCAGTGGGTGGTTCTGAGCAGAAGGCATGGTGGCAGAAGAGTCATTCCTTCACCACCCTCATTGCCATGGAACTCCAGCCCACGTTTGATCTGATTCATCCTGAGTTTTCCACCCACATCTCCTTAGCTGATGCCCTACTCACTTCATTGCCCATAGTGCCCTGGAGAACCAGGGAGCTCTCTGGCTAACCTCGGTGGGAGAGGACTCTGGGTTAAAGTGTGCAGAGTAGCCTTAAGACCAAGGAAAAGCTAGCTTGAGAGAATGAAATGTATACTAACAGAATATGAGAATCAGTGGTTAGAGTTGGACTGGGACTCGGGAGAGCTGGGTTCTAGTCCCCACTTAACTATGAAGCTGACTGGGTGAGTTTGGGCCAGTTACTAACTCTTGGCCTTGCCTACCTCACAGGATTCTTCTAGTGAGGATAAAATGAAAAGAACTTTGTAAACCATCTTAAGTTTCTTGCAAAAGGAAGAAAAGTAGGGCATAAATGTAACATAATAATAAACAAGAGCCCTGCTTCATCATTCCAAGACCTATCTAGTGCAGCTTCCTGTTTCCTTCACTAGTCAAGCAGATGCCCATGGAAAGTGCAAAACTGGGCTTCTCCCAGTGTCACTCCCAGAAACTGGTACTCAGAAGCCTCTAATCCAGGAGGTAGCATAGAACCATCACAGCTAGTAGCCACTGATAGCCTTATTCCTCTGAATTTGTCTAATACCCATTTAAAGAGATCAGAAATGTTTATTAGATTTTTTTTCTTACAACAAACTCAAAGCAGCTGACATCATTCTCCTCCTCCTGCTTTCAATCTTATCCTCACAACAAAAACCCTGTGAGGTAGGTTGGGCTGAGAGTCTGTGACTGGCCCCAAGTCACCCAGTTGGCTCCATGGCTGAGCTCAGGTCACCCAAGTGCTCTTCCGAAGACACCACACAGGCTCTCTCTATTCCACCTTTCTCCATTCGTCTGAGCCTACATGGCCCACTAGGCTCCACAGCCATAGTTATGGAAGAGTTGGTGGGAACTGTAGTCCAACACATGTGGTGAGCCCTAGGTTGAGGGAGGCCAACCCATTCCATCTGATAAATGGTAAGCGCTTTCCAATTCTATAGGCAATGCTTCAGGTACTGTAGGGGAGAGGGACAGGTGTGAAGTTACCTTCAAATGGATCACACAGGTGAACAGCAATACGTTTGGAACAGAGGCTGTCTTCTATCCTTTTCAAGCTGGCCAGACTTTCTGTTTGATTCACAGTCGCATTCACAGTTCTTGTAGTTTCACATTTCTGAAACCTGCCCTGCAAAACTTAAGCAGTAAAAGAACGTAGGATATAAATCAGCCATTTGCAATATATCATAGCATGACTCAAACTTTGCCAGCAGTACCTGATGAATCACACCGATTTAAGGAGATAAGGCAGAGTAAGTCTGAGGGAGCAAACACGGGCTTCCCATCAACATATCTGCAACCTAATGTGAATTCAGTTTTGGTCCTTGAAAGCAAGTAAGGAAACTGGTAGCCAAGAGACAACTACAAATCTTAGTAGGGGAGTAATATTTGTTTACAGCTTTTCGTACACTTGGTGGAGCAACTATGGAAAACAGGATAGTTTTTCCACAATTTTTCAGATATGGTGCAAGGCATTGTACAGCAACGCATCGTATGATTTTGTGTGAAATTGGTTTGTCTTTCTGTAAATTTGATTTTGTTTACCTTGTTAAATGCTGCTTTAAAAACAGTGGTTTTAAATGACAGCCTTTCAGACACTTACCAAAGATGACCAACACAATCACAGTTACTCCCAGAATGACACAAGCTGTCCCTATTATCCCGAGTGAGATTTTGCACATAGTGAGCGTCTTGGAAGTATCTGCAAAAAGTCAAAGTTAAGTGAAGAGATATAAGCATAATTCAGACCTTCATTGCTAATCTCTGCATCATACAGCTGCTTAGGAAGGCCTTGGCAATTATAGGTAGCCTATAAATATATGCAAATAAATAAATAAATAAAATACAGATTAAGATTAGGAAAAGCAAAACCACTTTTAATATAGTTAAAACCTGTTTTAGGATTTTTCTTTCCCCTGTGCTTTGCATGAGTATTTGGAAAGTCACCATATCCTGAATTAGAAACCTTAATTTTTATGGCAGACGAATTATTGTTGAAAACCTGCTAATTGGAGTCCTAATCATTAGGTGACATGGTTTTACATTCAGTGGTGGACTATTTACTGGTGGATGCCTGCTGTCTACTCCAAGACGCTAGAGCTGGTTTCACTTTTATCCAATTTTTGGCATGGGCTGAAGGAAACAGTTTTGGAATTTGGATTAGACAAAGTCAGTGAAATGTGAGTTTCAGGTGGTCAGGGTGAGGGGGGGGTGTGCTGTGGCTTTATAAGTGAGCTCCTTGAAAGGAAAAAAAGGTAAGATATTAAGAAAATAAATGAATAAAGGTGTGTGTGTGTGTCAATGTGGGCTGTGTTAAGAATGATCACAGCCTGCATGCGCCTTCCGGCTCCCCGCCTTTTCCAGCAACACATTTGTCAGTAAATGATGTATCTGAAAAATTACCATAACAATGCTATCCAGTGAGGTTGCCCTTCACCTTGGAGGCTTGCAGGCAAGCTAATTTCCTCAGGGTAGGAGGAGCAGAGGCTGAGGCTGAGGCTGTGGCCAGACAATGCTTGTGCTAGCAGTTTCCTCGGCTCCTCACTCCCCTGGCAGGCCTACAAACCACTAGCTCTGAGGTTGATCTTCCTGCCCCAGACTGCTGCTGGTACTGCTCTTTTCAAGCGGGCTGTGAGGATGGAGAGAAGCCATTCTGGGATCAGAACCTGGAGTGTGTTCCTAAGGTGGGAGCTGGGGCTCCAACTGTTCCTGTGGCCTCCATCCAAGAGAGGCGAGGATGGGGCAGCTGAAGCTAGTTGGAGTCAGAATAGACTGAAGCAAGAATATGCCACTTGAGCAATGGACAGAGCAGAGGGAGAATAGAATAGAATGGCATATTTTACCAGCAATGTAAAAGCTAGAATCTGCACTGCTTGGGTGGGTGCTGCACAGAACCTTGGTTTGTTTACACATGTGGAGTCCCCTTTATTCCCGGAACAAAGCTGCCTCCTTTGGGAAAGCTGTCTCTTCTGGTTTATTATTGATCAGGCACACCAGGCAAACTCATCACATTATGAGGCTTCCCAGATTTGAGTAACATGCATGCCCTAATACTCTTAACAGAAAATTTTGCCTCTTTTGTCAATGTGCAAAATACATCTTGCTAGCTATGGGTGCATGGCAATATATGGAAGTGAAACATTCAGGTTTGAGCCTGCTGCGTTTACAACTTCAGAGCTGTTTGTGTTATTAGAAGTACTGAGTGAGGCTGAAAAGCTACATCAGCTTACAATTCTTGTCTATAAGAATTATCAGTGAATAAAGAAGATATACAGAGGCTTAACCAAGAATGGATCTATCTATCTATCTATCTATCTATCTATCTATCTATCTTAAATCCTGCCCTTCACAATGTCTCAAGGTGGTAATACAAAAAAAAATAAATAAGATACAACATCAACATTGCAATAAATAAAATCCAATCTTAAAACACTATTAACTTTTAAAATGATGGGAAAATAAAAAGGTTGCAAATAATGAACTGGAGTGCCCCATCTTGCCCAACTAATGGAGTGCTTCATTATTACCTGTTTTTCAGTGAGTCAAAGGCTACACTTAATTCAGCAAAAAGTGATGTTTTGAATATACCACATCTTTTTGATAAGTTAATTATATCAGCCATTTGGTGGAGGAGCAATGCAGCTAACAATTTTGTTGTTGGTACGGTTTGGCAATGCACAATGCTTCCTTTTGGGAGGAGGTAATAAATCTTGTGATGGCAAATTCTTTAATATTCAAGGGTACAGATATTCCTTTGAATTATGTACCCATCTCTTGGAATTTTATGTAAGGTGAATGCACATGGATTTTCTGTTCCCGTTTAACAGTTAAAAGACTAATACTGCAGCACTAGAAGCCTGTCTGG